CTTGATATTTTAAAGGTTTGAATTCATGTGATCCTTTTCTTTCTTTTGCCTCCTCCTTCATAAACTCCATCCAGTGACAACCTGAGTCCCTCTCTTTTTCCACAGATATCATCTGGGTGATCCTCAGCGTGGAAGTTGGAGGACTTCTAGGTGTAACACAGCAGCTGTCATCCTTTGAAACAGAGTTCAACACGCAACCACATCGCAAGGTAGAAGGAAACTTTAACCCATTCGCCTCTCCACAGAAGAACAGGCAACCAGATGAAAACAACCTAAAAGACCCTGGGGGTTCCGAGCTAGGCACAATCAGCAAAAACACATGGGGGCCTGGTCCTGACCAAATCGAACAAGATCAGAATGGACTGTCACAAAACTCTGTAAATCTCTCCCCCAGCAGTCACTCAAACAACTTGTCGGTAGTGACGTACAGTAAGGTAGGTGCCCTGGGAGAGCAGGAGAATGGGTAGGTGATGATGAGACTGTGATGTATGTAATAGCTCTTCGTTCCAAACTGCAAAGCCCTTCCCTTCTGCTTCTGCCAGACCTGCTAAGGAAGGTTTTGAATTTGACTGTCTGACTCTGCCAACTCCTCCTGTTATATTACAATATTTTTTTGCCTCTGATAGACTCTACCAGATCCACCTTTTTGGTTTTTGCTTCAAGTCCTTCTTAAAATTTATATAATCTTGTCTGGGTGCTGTAACTATTAGTGGCTGGAGCCTGCTCCAGTTGCGTGTGCAAATAAGTCAAAATATCTCTCTAGATGTGCTCCTGAGTTTTACATCATTTTGAAAAGAGAAAAAGTAACCACACCCCCAAAACCCAAGATTAACCAGATAGCTTCTTTTTAGCTGGTGTGGGGAGACTACAGAGCTCAACATTTTGATCCCAGAAGCTACCTGTCAGGAACAGTCAATCAAAGGACTGCTCCTGTCTGTATCCCTGTCTTGTTTATGATTGTAGGTGACTTCTAAAATCTCTTTACTTCAAATCTCTCTCAAAAAGCTTGCTTGGTGGATGCCTATGAGTCTGAGTGATATTTTGACTGTTTTTATTTGCTTGTGTGTGAAAAATGAATCGCAGGATTATTTACAATTCAGAATCCACCTGTTAATGCAGCCAGTATGTGTAGGTGTGTACTGTCGTATGGCAAACTAGTTTGATTTTTAAAATCCTTTTAAAACGCTTTACTGTACTTTGAGCAGGCTGTGTAGGACAATAACACTTGGTTGCTGAATGACTTAATAAAGCCCTAATGTTAGTTCACCTACAGCACTTTAGTTCCTAACTGGATGAACTGCCTGTCCTCTACCAGTGGATCATATTTTAGTGACCTACTTTGCACCAGGGCTATGCATATTTTCTTTTTTTTTAATTTTCCCTGATGGCATGCACGGGATGAACTGTTTGACAGACTACCAATCACCCTTCTTGTGGTTTTGCACCCCAAACATAAATTGCTGTAAGCTGTATTGGCTCCTGCTTCAAGATTCTTGCTCCCTCAAAGTGAAATGGATGGCTTAGGAAATAATGACAAAATAAAGCCTTTCACCTTACCAGTTCAAATACAGCCTGACTGAGCAGTGACTGAGAGCTGCTGCCTTGGTGGCTATAAGGTGGCTACTTGCCTGGTGTCTAGGGGTGTTCCCAGAGGAGATGGGCTGTTGTGTGCCTGCAGAGGAGTTGAGGTGCTGATACAGCTTCTCTGCATCAGCTTTCCCTGGGCTGCTCTGGGTGGGGAGTGCTGGCTGCTGTACATAGTCCAGCAGCTCAGGGGCAGCTCTGCATCAACTGATGAAAAACAAAAATCAGTTACCAGGCCCAGCTGTGGAGAAACAGTGCACATACCTAAGCCTTTCCTAGCTAAAACACTACATTTAATTTAGGTGGAAAACTCAGTTCCACTTTTGGTGCAGCTTTAGGCTGCAGGTGGCTTGGTTTTGGGGTTTTTTCCCTTGCCCTGAGCGCAGAGCTTGGTGATTGCTTCATAGCTGACTTGCACTTGCAGCTGGATAGATGTGGAGCTGCTAAAACAGGCACTTCTGAGAAAGTTCCTGTGTGGAAATTCAGAGTGTGGGGGTTTGGCAGTAACGTGGCCTTCAATTTTCACAAGGTCTCTCCCTGTAGTGTGTATCATTGCCCTTCCTACTGAGAGAAGAGTGGAGTGGGGGCCAGGGGGTAAAGGGTCGAGGAGTAGATGCTTTGTCTTTTCTAAGAACATAAGTGTAAGAAACCAACACCTACTGGAGGTGCAGAGGACACAGCAAAGCTCAGCTGTGCTGTGGAAAAGAAAAGCCAAAAAGGAGAGTGAAGCACTACCAGAGAGGGTTTTGCTAAATTTAATTAAGCTGGTTTAGCTAGTAACCCAAAGTTTGTGATCAGCACTCCTGTGAGATGTAAGTAAGCCATTGTAATCTCACCTCAGTTGTAGGGTAGGTGGCCTTTCTCCCTGTTTTTTTGTTGTTTTGTTTGGGGTCATTTTTCTTTTTATATTTACAAAATATTCTTGAGTGAATTTGAGGTGGATTGTGTGAGATAAAAGCAGAAATTCTGTTTCTTGCTTGCTTCAGGGGGGATAACTTCATGGTCCTTTTTGGAGATGGGGTGGAGTATGTGAAAGTTTTTTGAGATTTTTTTTTTTTGGAGGGTTTTTCTCTCTACCACAGTGTTTCTATTTGCAACATGATAAAACAAGTCAGCTTTTCCTTTGGAGGCTGTTGTTCAGATAGGTCCAAAGATCAGAGTCCTGCTCCAGCCTTGCCCTCCCTGCCCAGGGCAGGAGGTGTTCTGCCACAGAGCTGACATTCACACTGGTACAATACTGCTCTAGTGAATGAGTTTGAGTAGGTTTGACAGCCCAGATACTCCTCATTGAAAATCACCAGGTGAACACACTCACCATCCCTGCTGTGGGTCTAGCACTATCACATGCCCTCTTTCTGGAAAAGATTGTTTTTTTTCTAAAAAGGGGTAATGTGTCAGTAGTATCCCCAGCTGGGGCTCCAGTTCAGTGGAAAAGAGCTTATTGGAGGGGATGGCAGAAGAATTAAAGCACCCAATCAGCAGATGGTGTTCCAGTACCTGTTACGAGAGGCTTTATCTGGCTCAGCTTCCCCAGTTCCCTGGGGACTTGACCTGTACTCTGCTGCTTGAGAGAGGGAAAAAACCTGCTAGTTTTGGAGCTGTTGTCACATGATTAAATATTGATGTGAAAGGCTTTATTTCAAGTTCTAGGAGCAGACAGAGTACTGTAGGCTGGTTATGTAGTTGCATGTTAGGATTCCTGGATTTCATTTATCTTTGACAGGACCTTGAATATTCTTGCCCACTTTGATGCCTGTGGAGAATGGAGTGAATCCCTGGTCACATTTGACACTATTTGGTGAGATACAGCAAAGGGGATGGGTAAGGTCTAGTTGAGGTGTTCAGAAGGGCCTGTGTCCTGTACTTAGAAGTAATATAAGCCCTTAAAAGTTTCTCAGATTGCTCTGGAGGCTTCCTCTCTGGTTCTCCTGGAGAGCCCCACTCATGCAGTTGCACCAGGCTATGAAACTTTGAGAGAAAGCTTAACAGTTTCTGGCACCTGCAGCTGTAAAACACACCAGAAGTTGCCAGACCTTGTCTGTATGAGTTCTCCCTCTGGTGCAGCTGAGCAGGTGTGACCCGTCCTCTGCAATTCCCCAGTGGAGCCAGGGTCTCAGTGACACCGATGGGCCATCTGCTGCCAGAGCAGACAAGTGTATCACTGTTTCACACGTGGCAACATTCAAAATGCAGCAGCCCCTGTACCTGGTTTGGATGCTCTGCTCAGTGAAACAGACTTTCCTGGGGAAAAAACTAAACCAGATACTGAACTGCCTGTAAGCAGATAAGAGAAAACCTGTGGTGTGGCTGAACCAAACTGAGTGTGATCTTTATTCCTGCAAAGTGCACACCTTCCCTGGGTCCACCCTGCTCACCTTCCCCAGCAAACTGCTGGATGGTTGTAGATCAGGGGGTGTTTTCAGGGCACTGCTTTAAGCATGTTGTTGCTGTATCTATTCCCAGCAGAGTTTTTGCATGTTCTGGATGTGCTTAAGTGCAGGATAGGATGCTTATCTCAGGGTAGGGATGAGCTGTATTAGAGTCCAGATATACCCATGCATGGGTATTTTATTCTCCTCCTTGGCAATCTCTTTCTCTCTGTACTCTCAAGAGAGACAGGCTGATACAACTTCCTTCTGTTTACTCCCTCCTGTCTCATAGCAACACTGTCGAGGTCACTGCTGCTCTCTTGTGACAGTCTTTTACATTAAAAGCACAAGATGCAGTCTTACAGTGCCTGGGGAATTAGGGTTAAATTTCTTCACTAAGGAGAGGAACATACAGCTTTGAATGTCTAAAGAGATCTGAAGTAGATAGCCATATACTGACACTCAGATTGTACTGGTCACCTGTGTGTAAAACCAATATACATACATATATGTATAAAAAAATCTGTTGCCCATAATTGAGGAATTGTTGCTTTCTGTATAATTCAGAAAACTGCATGTAGAAGTTCTGATTCTGCAAAGATTTGCCCACACAGGACAATTTGCATAGTCACTGCCATAGCACAGGGTGTTGTACAGCTTGTCTGGTGGTCTGTTTGTTACTCGTGCTACTCTTAATGCCCAGTGAGATACAGGCATATTTGGAGTTCAGAAAATCAAAACCTTAAACCATTATGCTCCTCATTTTACTGCATTCTGTGTGGAGCTGAACTCTGATCCATGCTACTTGACAGCTTTCTATATGTGAGGGGACACCAAACCTCTGTCTGTTGAACCTTTAACTGGCTTCCCCTCTCCGAGTTAAAAGTTGCTGCTGCTGCTTCTAGATGTGTGCTTCTTCCAAACCAGGATGCTGGAATTTTTGGAGTACCTCTGTAAACTTTAGATGGATTTTTTTTTCCACTGGAAACTATTTGGGTACCAAACTATATTTGTGGGTAAAGAAGATGCCCCAGAAATTTTTTGCTCCCATGTAGAAGAGAAGCTCCTTTCATCCTGGGCTTCAAAGCAGGCTAGTTCCCACGTGGTTCCCTTCGTTTAGAACAAAGTGGGAGAAAGGTGGACTGGAGATGACCACAGCTACTCTGACAGCGACACTGCTGCACAGCACCTGCAGTCTGAACTGACACTGCATGAGCTGGTTTGCTTCTCTGGTGAAAGACTAACGTGTTTGGATGCTGCATGTGAGCTCATCCATGAAAACCAGCAGCCCGTGTGCTTTTGGGCTGTGGGAAGTGTGAGATCATCTGATTGTAGCTTATCTTTGCTCCATTGCAGGCCAGCAGAGTTCCCCTGCTCTCTTATCTCTGCAGACCATCAGTTAAAGAGCTAAGTTGTTGCATGGTAACTCAGTCATGTACCTGAGCCCCCCTGAGCCTCATCAGCTGTGTGCATCTAACCCAGCCCTACCAGTGGCTGCACTCTGAGGAGGTTCTTCACTTCCTGGTGGTCATTGCTGCCACGCCATGTCTGCACAGCATGCATGGAATCAGAAAAAAAAATAGCACTCAATACTCTGTTCTTCTGTTTGTGTTCAGCTGAGTTAGCCAAGAGAGCTCTGTGTAGTCTGGGGAAGTGCTGCCTAGGAGGGGACAAGGGACTGGGGACTTGTGATGCTACTGCCAGTGTCCACTGGGAGACTCCTGTATTGCTTTGCAGCTGTGCACCAGAACCTCCTGTCTCTGGAAGTGTACCTGTTACTGGTCTTGCCTCGGTCACAAAGGTGAAATAAAGATAGCTATTTGAAAGCCTGTGTGGTGATGGTTTATGAAAGATTAACTTAATCTTCATTTTATTTCTGGCACAGGTGCCTGCATTTAAACAGCTCGGTATTTCCAAAGGCCTTGAACTTTCCAAAACATCTCAATTCCCTTCTAGACACAGAAGGCAAATGATAATTTATACTAGTGATTTTCACACAGAGGATTTTCTTGAAACACCATAATCCTCCACTCTCACATGCTCCTCTGTGTGACTAGCCAGCGTGCTTTCACTAGCCCGTTGGCAATCCCTTCTGTGGAGGAGACTGGAAGAACTGAAAGTCAATTTGCAAAGCTGCAGCTGAGCTTTTCAGAAAGGCAGTGATCTCATTTTTTGAGAGCAGAAGGGAATTCACCAAAAATAGTGTGGATAATTCTTCAGCTGTAAGAACTCAGAGAAACTGCAATTGTCTGCAGGATTATTTTTGCACGTTTCTGATGTAAAATGTTGCGTGCAAGGGATAAGTGGCATTGAAACTCCTCTAATGGAGTGTGGTATTGGCACTGCAGCAGCAGCTGAAGTGTTGGTGTCATGACACTATTACACTGTGTGTGTTGAGTAAATGTAATGAGCAATAGTTGCTCTGCCTGAGGAGCCTGAGGAAGAAAAAAGAAATTATTCTCCTTTCACAAAGGGAAATAAGAATTTCTTGCTCGGGGTCTGATATTAAACCAAGTCAATACTTGATCTTAAAGGAAACGAGTGTTTTTAATGTGTTAAATCCTCCTGTGAACTAATAAATCTCACGGGTAAGTGGCACGCAGTGAAGAGTGGCAGTCTGAAAGCAAAGATTTGGGCCTTTTTGTTGGTGAAATTCACTGTTTCAAGAGAAGTTAACCCTGGGCATAGGGTCTGGGGCTGTTCTTGGAATTCTCGAGAGGGTGAAGCTCATCTAGGGGTGGCAGCCTGTGAAGTGCAGGGTACCAAGTGATACAAAAAGCAGTATATAGTTAGTAATCTGATACTCTATAGAGGTGAGCTAAATTCTGGTTTTAATTAACACGAGATTAGCGTAATTGTGTAGCTTTAAATGAGGTGCTACAGAAAACAGTAGCTGAAGACCCAGAGGATTTCCCTGAAAACAAGGTTAATAGTCTCCTCACAGGGTCTCTCTGCATACAAAGGAGCTAATGAACTGTTCTCATCTCTGTGTTGAGCTGCAGACTCTGGACTGTGCGCTGATTAACGGTGTTCATTCTTTTTGATGTGGCTCACACAAATGAAATCAAGGTTTTGCTGTGAAACAGGCGGGTGGTACCAGGGGGGCTGTGCCCCAGCAGCAGGGCAGGGCTGGGAGCAGCTGATGGGAACCTGCTCGGGTGGGTGCTTCCCAGTCAGCACCTGCAAACAAAGCCTGTGTGCAGGGAAGGAAAAGATGGAGCAAATTCTGGCGATGTGTCCGTGCAGATAATCAGCAACAAATCCTATTTTGCTTCTCTGGAGCAGTAAGTACAGCAGTGTAACCCCTGTGAGAGGAGGCTGCTCAGGAGCTTTGTTGTAATGTTGTTTTCCTTCTGTGTCCTTTGAGGGTGTTTTGTGGACCTCTTCACATTACTTTAATGTTCCTCTTCCCCTTCCCTCTTGTCTCAGTGATTGTACTTCCCAGAAATGTTGAATATCTCGGTCTTCTGATTTTGGTGGGAGTTTCTGCTTTGAGGTGAACTGTTGTGCTGGAATCTCCTGGGTGTTATCTTTTGAAAAGCTTGCTGTACAGACTGGGAGTGCAGCATATTCCTAGGGTAGAGGCGTGTTTGTTTTTCCATCACTTGCATGTATTTTGGTCTGCACACAGCAGTTCCCAGGTTTCCAGTCTTCTGTGCTTCCCATGCCCTTTGTGAGCTGTGCTGTTTGTCTGCTCATCCTCCTCTCTTCATTGCATTTTGAGAGCTGCCAATAAATGCTTCATTTTATCACTGTCTTACTTGCCACCTGATATTCCTAAAGAATTAACTTTTTCTCACCAGCTGTAGCAAGATTAGAAGCTGCTTATAGCTCTTCCTTTTTCACCTAGGTACACAGCAGAGCTCTTGAACTTGGGGTTTTGCAGCTAGGCTTCAGCTAATGAAGCTGATTCCTTCCACAAGTCATGTTAAAGACTCTACAGGTCTGGTTCAGGCAGCCAGGTGGTTACAGAGTTGTAGGAGAACATGCAGGAAACTGTTTCCTTTGAGCTTTGCCCTTTTACAAGCAAAATGGTGAAAACTAAAACAAGTCAGAGCTTCACTTAAAGGCCAAGAATGGCTCTGTGCTAATTGGGCTTTCTCATCAGCATGCTGGGAAGAAGCTTGACTATGTTAAAAAAGGCATTTGCATAATAATCTTCCAACTTTGCCAATGAAATTCAATAATGAGCTGGTCTCTCTTCTGACCTGAGTGTGTCTGGGTCTTACAGGAAGATTGTGTGTGTGGTTTGTACCTTCGTCATCATGACAAACTCTGGATCCCTGGGACTTCAGAGCTCTCTTCCCAGCCTCTTGGTCACTTTCTTTTGCTTCCTGATGAAACCCTGAATTGCTGCTTTGAACAATAGAAATTACAGAAGGGAGTTCCTGTTCATTTGAGAACTGTTACTAGATCTGTCATTTAGGTGACTCACTGCAGGATGTGAAGGAGGGGAGAGGGATTCTGTAGAAAGCATTTTGATTTTTCTGATTAAATATTGTGGTTGATTTTTCACTTGAGGAAGGTGTTTATTGTAATCTTGAGAGAGCAAAAGTGGCGATTGTGGGAATGTGGATTTCCAAATCTTGAATATTTGTTGTTGTTAAATACTCTTCTACCATTTACAGCCTCTTATTTAAGTTTGCTGTGATCTTTAGAACAAACTTGTGAGACTGGTTGCTTGGCCTCACAGGTATTGTAGTATCTACAGGGTTGTTTTTGCTCTGGTGTAAGAAATACAAGTTACTTTGTGGCCTGGTACCACCTGGCTATTACCTGGCCTAAATAACTCCTAAAAGAGGTAAGTGACATCTCTGGGGACACCAGCTACAAGCACCAAAACCTGCATTTTGGGGTATTTTGTAAGGTCACAGTGGTGGGAGAAGGGCTGTGTTTGGTTTGGAAGGGCTGGGCTGGGCTGGGCTGGTCAGTGTTTGTAGGTGTGTGCTGATCAGTGATTTCCTGCCTATTGATTATGTCTCCAACTTTCTTGCAGGGTTTCCACGGTCCTTATCCCTTTGGACAGTCTTAAAACACAAAACGGGTATCGGCAAGAGGAGGATTTAACAAAGGACTGACTTTTGGGGGAAGGGAGGGGGATTCCTGTGGCAGACAGACACAACGTGGACCCCCCTTCTCTGCCTCCGTGTTCTGGATAAAGAAGAAAAAAAAAAAAATCCCAATAATTTAAGACTAGCTGTTTCCAGAGGAAAATACAAAAATCCAAGTATGCATGTGTGAATGCTGGATTTCAGGAGTGTTGTTAAATGCTTTGAGAAAGAAAATACACCAACACCGTGGGGTTTTTTGGTTTTTTTTTTTTTTAGAAATCATTCTCACATATAATTAGGTAGCTTAAAAAGAAGTTTAAAAAATGAAAAAGCCATCTTAAAAAAAGATATTTTGCCTACAGAGCGGTTGTAGTTTGAGCAAATGTTTAATTTCTGTTTGTTTCTTGTTGATACTTTTTTTTTTAAATAAGGGACAGCGTGCATTTTTATGGAACTGTCATATTTTGCTTGCCACCAAATGGGAATTCTCTTAGCATCTTCTGGGGTTTGTGCAGTGGCTTCGTTTTGTTGGAGGTCTTTTAATGACAGGCTGGGTCTGCACCCAGCTCTGTGTTTTTTAATAGCATCTGCTGGCTTTAGTTACCAACTTTTTAATCTTTTATTTCTATTTTCTTTTTCCTTTTGGTTTGGGTGTTGCTATTGGTTGTCCTGCATGTCCTGGGAAGCTGTGCTGAAGACCAGGTCTTAGTATCCAAGCTGGAGGGAAGGACTCTGGGACTTGTAGGATAACATGGAGGGCTTATTTTCCTTCCCCTTGTACATGGAGTACACACAAATACATGCCCACGTTAGTAAGGAAAAGGTCTATTAGAGTTCCAGAGCTGTCCTGTGTGGTGAGCATTTTAAAATAACCTTTCTGTTAACTCTTGATGTACAGTAGCTGTGCCTAGAGCAGCCGAGCAAGCGTATCACTCTCGTGCCAAGAGGAAACTCTTTCTGTAGCTGTAATTCACGTGGTAGTAGTTGCAAAGCTTTACAAAGTCGTGTCCTTTTAATTTTGAATCTCCCATCCCTCTAGAGTGTAAGTTTGCCTTCATTTCTCCTGTGATAAAGTCTTAGCTTAGAGGCTAATTGGTTGCATTTTGGAATGCTGAGCAAGCATTCACATCATCAGCTGGATTCTGCTCTGTCGCCTTGTACTCATTCGCCTTCTTCGTCCTGGCTCGTAGCTTCCTGAGGCTCTAATGGGCTCTCCAGGGCTTGGTGTTGGAGGAGGAATTGCCTCTCTCAAGATTCAGGTCGTCCTGCTGTTCCTGCCACCTATCTGCCTGCAGTTATGGACCTGGAAGTCCAGTGTGAGGGGAGGGAGAATTGCCTCGAGAGCTGTGGTGGGTTTCTGAAGTGCTGTCACCACAGAGCCTGCTGAAGGGGAGCACGGTGAGGGGACATCCCCCTGCTCAGGAACGTGAGCAAGGCTGGAGCAACCATCTGCCAAAGATACAGGAGAATGCAAAGCTCCCACTACCTTTTTCCTAGCTCTTTCCAGTGAAGACTTTTGTTCTCCATGGTGGAGCAGAGCCCAGGCTTGCTGCATGATGTGTGGCTTCACTAATTGCTCTTGGCTAGTTGTGTTTTCATGGTGGCTTTTGAATGGGGGACTCATTTTCACTGCAGCTACCAAGGGCTCTCTTATCTTAGTGTGTACAGATGGACCTTGCAGAGGACAGTGGGAGTTCCTTGAATCCAACAGAGGAAGAAGAGGCCAGTAGATTTTTATTTGTATTTAGTTGTTAAAGGTCACTGTTCATCTGAAGTCTCCCTTCAGAAGTCTTATTTGCTGGGAGAAACAAGTATAATGTAGGAAATCACCTGCATGAAAGAGGCCCTGCAGGATTTGGACCACTGGCTGTGTGGTGAGTGCCTGGGTCTGTCTCCAGCTTGCTCGAGCTGGGTGAGTGTTGAGATCAGAGTGACCCTGGGGAAGTGATGCTGCACTGCTCAGCACAGCTCCAGGGTTTAGTCCTTGTCCCGTGACATCGTTTGCCTGGATTAGTTCTCTCCCCTTCAGCCCAGGGAATGATTTACATCACTGTAGTGGAGCGTGGGCAGGTGGATTCTTCTCTCCCTCCTTTGCAAGCAGGTGGCTTGTGAGAAGCTCTGAAGGCATGAACACATTACCTGAACATCACAGCTCTTGCAGTACTGCTGCTTCCCTTCTGAAGGCATCTTAACTGCTGGAGACTGCTGGTTGTCCAAGTGACAAGGTGTTCCTTATCTTTATTAGCTCCTTTTATCAGCTGCAAAGCGGAAGGGGAGAAAAATTAAGATCTGAGTCTCTCTTACAGCTGGTGCTGGAACCTTTGCTGAGGCATCTGGGAGTCCCTTGAACTTGGGATACCCCCACACTGGCTTGCATCCTCTCCCAGCCACGTGTGCTCCTCCTGTACATAACAGCTGCCACATTCGTGTTCCTGTGCTCCTCTTAAGACTGAATTTTCCTTTTCTTGAAAAAAAAATCTTGCATGCACCCCAAGTAGTCATGTGCTCTCCCACTCTGGAGGCACACTTGTTCTGCACAGGCTTGAACTCTCCTCTTGAGCGTTTTCAGTCCACGGTGTCCTTGTGACGAGGGGCACTTACTCCAGGGGGTGAAGAAAGGCAGGGCCAAAAATCAGCAGCCTCTTGCTGCTCACACCCCCGGGTAGCTGAGTGGGAACAATCTCTGCAGGCACTTGCAGGGAGCTGGGCAGGGGCTGTAACTGGGCTGTGACAGGGCTGGAACCTTTCATTCAGTGGCTGCTCTGCCTCCAGGCTTTCCCCTCGAGTAAGAACTGTTTCACTGAGGCCAAAAGTGGATTTATCTCCTCTGGTTCCTTGGAGCTCAGTGGTGCAGCCAGCCCTCAAATTACTCTTGCTGTCAGGTTTCCAGCCTTGAAATTAGGGGGATTTGAGATGTATCCAGCAAAGCTCTTTCCAGGTGACTTTAGGGTGCTGTGATTTGGTTTCCATAGGGCTGATATGTTCAAATCTCGGAGTCTTAACATCAGACACAGGAAACAAATGACTTGGTCCTTTAAAAGTGCTGGATGCCAAATATTGTGGTGAGCCTGAAGTGTGTGTGTTGGCTCAGATAACCAGCCTGTGCCAGTTCCTCACACAGAGCTCGGGCCTGTTAGAAATGGGAGGAAATCCTTCTCAGGCTGAGGCTGGTGAGCCAGCACAGGGTCTGTAAGCCCAGAGAGGCTGGTGGGCCTGGCTGGGGCAGGGAGGGGGCTGGTACCCACTGGTACAGGAGGGTGCAGGGATGGAGAGCCTGCAGATGGCTCCAGTCTGATTGACACCCTTCTGTCTGGAATCCTGAGAAGGAGGG